CTTGGTGCAGAGCTTCCCCAGGCTCCATGCTTGTCTGTCAGAATGTTGATAATTTTCTGTATTAGTTGAGTTGCAGTCACCTGGTCTCGGTACTTAGCTGCCATTATCAAATGATGACACATTTTTTCTTCTTCCCGTTTGTCTGCAGAATACTGGGCACACAGTGACTAGGAAGAAAATAAAGACTTCATTACTTTGCATTTTAATTATACCGTCCAAAGGAACTTTCAAGCACTTCATAATTAATTACTTATACAAAACCCTTGAGAAATAAGAATTAACCCCATTTTACAGGTTTGAGAATTGAGGCACTGTGCAGCTGCCCACAGTAAATCTGTCCAGAGAGCCAAGCAAAGGATCTTGGTTTGTCATGAAGTCTTTACCCACATAGCATACACACTCAAGATTTAGCAAATGCCAACACATTAGTGGCCTGATTGCATAATAAAACATATAGGCACAACCACTTTTATTTTTTAACAAAGTAAGTGAATAGCATTATAAAAACAAAGAGGTGAGTTTCAGAATAATGAATGCCAGCTAACCGACCAGACCACTCCCGTGGACTTCATTAGATTTGGATAGCCAACCATTTGCTGTTGTTTGTATAAATATGTAACTATAAAAACTAAGGAGAAAATCTACATATCTTCAGATAGACAGAAGACAAAAATGTAGATGAAGACTGAATTATCTTTACCAGATGGCTTCTTGAAGTCAAGCACATTTGTAGGCCAGCATGGGAAAGTTAATCATTTCCCTGGCTGTACTACACCTGTTGTATAAACATGTTTGCCGAGGTACTCAAAACCAAATACTAGCAAATAAGAACTGAAAGTCACACCTACAAAACAGAACTCAAGACTAAGAAAGATTCTTTGTTACATTTTCTTATCATTTGGGTTTTGTTGATCTTCTGAAAATTTGTCTGTTAATACAGAACTCAAAAAATGGGCACAAAATTTAGATCACCCCCCTCATCAAACCACATGAAGAGCCACAACAAATTCAAATATTGGTAGGAACAATAAAGGCTTTTCCCCACTTCAGCACTCCCTGTTTCTAATTTCAGTTTTCATCTGGCAATTCCACAGATCACATATGCCAGACAAAGCATTTCAGCCTTTGTCAATGATTGGATTATTCTATGATCTAGTTAGTAGAATGGACACAAATGTCTGCCTAACAACAACAAAAAAATTGCTTTTTCTCTGTGAAGCACAGCTGATGCAGACACTGGTACAATTATTTCTTAGAGTTTAGATAACAGCACAATATTATACTGCTTTTTAAGTTTAAAACAGTAGCAATGCTTTTTCTATACAAATCTATCTATATGTACAAGTATTAAAAAACTGTTGCAAAAAAATAGGCAGGCTATGAATGCTATTCATATATGTGTACATAGAAACATATACATGTCATATAAAGTGAAAGATAGGAAGAATGTGGAAAAAAGCACAAGTAAAATAAAATTTTGGGTTGTGTAGATTTTCATAGACATTAGACAACAAAAATGCACCAACAGATGAATAACTTTAAAGAGCTATTTTAACAATTTCAATACATTTACGAATTTCCTCATAATTTTTCCCACACCTTAGAGCAATGCTCACCTGATGAACAGACATCCAGGAGTGAAGAATGGGCAGCTGACTTTCCAAGTCAGAGAGACATCAAAAATTGGCTTTTCTACTCCTATATAAAGCACTCTGCCACCCCCTTCACAAAAATATAAGATGGCTAAATCATAACCAACACTAAACAAGATTTTTCTAGCTTTTTTTAAATACAGCTGTCTTTTCCAATACATTAATCTATTTCGCACTCATGATGATTCTGAGTTCTTTTCAGCACTTTGTAAATGTTTCATAAGCTGTTATTTTTAAGTTGCCTGAAAGGGCAGAATTCTAAAAACAAGTGTATAAGGTAAGCTAAATAGTAAAATGTTTTAAAGTGCTCTTTAATGGATCCTCCTTTACAATTTGAACAGCAACTTTTCATATCTGACATAAAATCCATAGATATAAATCACATTAGAGGGTTATTCTTTCCCCATTATCAATCTCTGTCTCTTTATGGAACATTAAAGTCACATTTGACCTTAAAACATGATAAAATGGAAATCAAACTAGAATGTTTTGTAAAAGATATAATGAACTTGTACCTCTTTAAAAAAAGTCTCTTCATGATGTAATTTTGAACGCATCCTTCATTAAAGACCAACAAAGATTTTCAAAGTGTTGCTGTGACATTCAAATGAAGGAAAAAATGGTATTTTATTGTCCTGACAACTTCCATGAAAACAGAATTAGCCTGTTACAAAACAGAAATGTATAGGACTCCACTTTTCAGAAAATTCAGCATTTAATATGAATAGAAACCTGCAATTACCTACCAAAACTGAGACTCCCCCACATGCAGCAATCCCATAAAATTATAACATCACTCCAGGAGGGACTCTTAACCATAGCACACGCTTTACAATATATATTTTACAAACAAGAACAGAAAGAAGCCACAGTTCTGCCAAGTATCTGGCACACGCATGTATAGTTACTAACATTAAGAAAGTTTTGCAAGAATTATCTTCTCTTTGATCATACAGGTGACTCGTCAATTGTTCAGTGGTTCCTACCCATGATATATGCCAAATATTCAGCAAAAAAGCAGCTATTTCTCCCTCTCCCTCTCTCGAATAATTTTTAATACAGGAGTGAAAGAAGATTGGCTCCACCCAAGGAAATGGAAAGAGACCCATCCCAAAGTAGTCAGTCACCACTCAACTGTTCTGAAAGCACTAAAAATTCTCCATTTCTTTACTGTATTTTTTTCATTTTCCAGATGCCTTCAGGTTCACCTGATCCACTACTTTCAGAGATGCAATACCAGGATACGGAGTGGTACATGTTAATACTTCACACTAAATCCCGATCATTCCATTTATATAAAATAAAAATTCAGCTTGATTTCTGTTTGTGCACAAACTCAAAAATATATTTTTGCAGTTTTATTTTTTCTTTATTGCTTGATCTCTTGCTCTTGCAATATGCACCCTGTCATACTTGAATATGGTTTTACAAATAGATACACAGTTGCATGCAAATGAATTTGTCAAATCTTCCTTCCACTAGTGCTTTGGCTTACATAATTTTTGTTACCTATTTGGGGAAGTTTGTGATTATACTTTCATTACACAAGTACTGCAGTCACACTCATGATGAAACAAAAAATGTTGAAAGGAGAAAAATGTATTTTCACATATACACTCCACAAGTTATCTATAAAAAGTCTTAAATTCAGTGGCTGTTAAAAGTTTTACAAAAAGAAAGTGTATTAAGCAGAATCCTTTGACCCAGCATGGAGCAGAGGAAAGATGCTTGTTCTCTACCCCTTCATACAGGATGGAACAGAAACCTTCTCTTTGCCATTATCGCAGAGCAGAACAGAGTTCTCTCCTCTCTCCCATTCGCTGCTTGGACAAGACTGCAGGCTATTTGAAGATGTAGGTTACCTGAAGATTTATTTTTAAGGAACAGTAATTCTAAAGGAGCACAAGGTCATCCAAGAGGCAAGTTATAGGTATGAAAATACAATACATTCTACATGCAGGAATTCCAGAAATACTATTGCAAAATACTGACAAGGTGAATTAGTCTATTCTGCCTGTCTATATTTCAGTGAAGAGGAGGATTAATCTAGTGTTTTCAGAACTATTTTGTCTTTGATCTTTATAAAAATGTCAAGTAAAAGATTTTCTCTGCACAGTACCATCTGCATGTGCACCTCTGCAGTCCCAAAACTACAATGTAATGCTTTCCACAAACTACAAAAAAGTTTAATAATGTAGGGTTTTTAAAAGCTGTGTTGTACCTTTTTACTTTTATTCTTCAACTCAAAGATCACTGAACACTTTTACATATGCCAGTTCCTTTGTCTAATCTGGCTAAAAGCTACTTGCTTTGTGAACAACCTGTCTCAGAGGGTGTCATTTAAGAGGAAAGTCATCCATTAGATAACACGTAGTCTTGCCAGTAATGCAAATTCCCTAAAAATAAGGATATTTTGGTAAATGAAGGAGCTCCTCAATCCTCTGCTTTCACAGATCTTTGCACTTGACCTCTGACCTGAGGTTTAAAGTCTGGACTAAAAATGCTACCATGGGAAATCTTACAAAGACTCCTGAATAAGACTTAGAAAAATGAAAGCTTAAAACCTCAACAGCGAACAAAAGTCAACCAATGACAACGTCTGACAGCCACCGTCAATTCTGAAGTGATGCCTCTGTCATCCAACGACTCAAAGTATTGATTTCTCTCAGCATGAAAAAAGCTTAAGCCAATGAAATAGATATAGCATCATCCCCCCGATAATAGCCATCAAGGTTAACACCAGCAGAACACTTATCAAAGTATCTCTTCTATTTCTTCTTGTTTTAATGGACTGAACACAATGCAATGGCTTCTCATCTCTGCAACCTATAGTTTTCCAAACCTCATTTATCCACTTTTCCAGCCTGTTATCCGATTTGAAGATTAAAATGAATCTGCATCTAAATCAACTTTGTTTGTAATACAAGGGGGGGGGGGGGGGAGAAAAAAAAAGTGGTTCTGTAGCCAGACATTCCCAGGGGAAAAAAACATGCATTTAAAATCACAAGGCAGGGGGCGGGGGGGAGAAGAACAGGACAGACCCCACAGTTGATTTAGATCACACCAAACACAGACTGGTAAAACTATGGTCATGACCAGAAAAAAACCTACCACAGTCAATTTGGGTTAGTAATTAGAGAGAAATGCAAGGATCTCGAGAGACATCTGGTTTTAATCTGTGCTGAGTCAACAGCTTTATTTTTTACCTTTAAGTCTCAGAGTATTAAGCTTTAGTAAACCCAACTAAATGCTAGGCAACAGCTGAGATTGCATCTTTCAAATGAACCAAATTTAGTAGAGTAGGTAAATGAGACAAACTAAGAAGAGTTCAACTGGATATAAAAACAACTGACATAATAAATAAACAGTAAAGAGCAGAGACAAATAACACCAGATTTCTATTTATTCTGTAGTATCCATTAGTACCATAGACTTTTTTTTTTACTTTTTTCTATGATGCTTATTTAATTGATACTATCTGTGTTACAGTAGCACCCTTGGATCACAAAGACAAA